AAGGTGAAGTATTAGGTTGTTCACTTGCCATCTTTCCATTCTTCTGAAGTAAGCATTTAATGTGATAAATTTCCCCCTTAGTACTGTTTTCGCAGTATCCCACAGGTTTCGGTATGATGTATCATTGTTTTCATTAGTTTCAATAACTTTTTTGATTTCCTGTTTGATTTCTTCTTGGACCCATATGTCATTAATCGAATGCTGTTTAATTTCCATTTGTTTGTATAGTTTCCAGAATTTCGTTTGTTATTGAATTCTAATTGTAATTCATTGTGGTCTGAAAAAATACATGGGATAATTCCAATTTTTTTGAATTCGTTGAGACTTGATTTGTGACCTAACATGTGATCTATCCTGGAGAATGATCCATATGCTGATGAGAAGAATGAATATTCTGAGGTCGTTGGATGGAATGTTCTGTAGATATCTACCAAGTGCAGTTGGTCTAGAGTGTTGTTTAGATCTTGTGTTTCTCTGCTGATTCTTTGCTTAGATGATCTGTCCAATATTGATAATGGGGTGTTCAGGTCCCCTGCTATTATGATATTAGTGTCTATTTCATTTTTTAGGTCTAATAGAGTTTGCTGTATAAATCTGTCTGCTCCAACATTGGGTGCATATATATTTATGATTGTTAGGTCTTCTTGATGGATCAATCCTTTTATCATTATGTAGTGGCCCTCATTATCTCTTTTTATGCTTTTTAGTTTAAAGTCTATTTTATCAGATAAAAGAATAGCTACTCCAGCTTGTTTTTCATTTCTATTTGCATGCTAAGTCTTTTTCCATCCTTTCACTCTTAGTCTATGTGAGTCTTTATAGGTGAGGTGGGTCTCTTGAAGGCAGCATATAGTTGGGTCCTCCTTTTTAATCCAGTCAGCCAGTCTTTGTCTTTTGATTGGGGAATTTAAGACTTTTACATTAAGAATTGTTATTGAAAAGTTTTGATTTACTCCTAGCATTTTATTGAGTTTTGTTTGGATGTTTTAAGTGTCTTTTGTTCCTTTTTTTCTGATTTACTGTTTGTCTTCTGTATTTGTTGGTTCCTTGCGTAGTAGATAAACTTTTTTTTCCTCTTCATTGTTGCCATTTTTATTTTACTAGTGGGTTTTGAT